TGTGCCCAGGTCCTAAGGTGCTCCTTTACCCTCCACTGTAGTCCCCAGGGTGTGGCTGGGGCTAGGCGTGCTCACAGAGTGGCCCCTCTCTCCCGGGCGCCCTGTAAGCCTTTTGAGAATAGGGAGTCAATTACTACCTCCACCCAAAACACCTGCACTGACATCCTCAGAAAAGAAGAAAATGAGGTAAAACAAACATTGTTAGTGCACTGCTGCACGCTACACTCACGCTGCTAGCGTCTTAGTGTTGAAAGACACAATAAAAGGGATCTAAGCCCATCTCTAAGCTGATGCATAAATTCCTCTCGCAAAGCTGTCTTGGGTATGTATTACTGATTAACAAACCACCAGAAAATTGAGTGCTTTAGAGCAGCGCCCATGTTCCTTGCTCGTGAGTCTGTAGTTAATAATTCGAGCAGAGCTTAGCTGGGGGCCCTCTGCGCCACAGGGCGGGGGTCCAGAGCCAAAGAGGCTCCCTCCCGTGTCCGGTGCCTCTTTCTGCCTCTCTCCCCGCTGCTGGCTGTGGCTTCCTTACCTACAGCCTGTGATCGAAGGCAGAGGGGCTTCTCACAGGCAGCTTCCAAAGTGACCTTGCCAAAGGGGCAGAAGTCGAAGTTGCAGATCCCTGATCACCTCAAAAGCCACAGGGCCAGGTTCACAGATCAAAGCGCATGCTGGGTCCCCGCTGCCACGGGGCACCGGAGGGGAGGGACCCCAAAGGAGCACCGCAAGGAACCGGCCGCCAGCCATACTTAATCCCCCTGCAGAATCCTTTCCAGACGCTGTCAGCCGGTGCTTAACCTCTTCCTGTGATGAAGAGCTCACAGTGACACAAGGGGAGCGCATCTACAGACAGCGCTGGCAGCAATATCCCAGCTCGGGAACCCTGTCAGCCCCCCACCTCCGCCCCCCCAGCCCCTGCCTTGCAGATGCTGCCTGCATTTCTGAGGCCCCTCAACATGCAGACCTGCCAAGTACTATGTGTACCAAAGTCTGAGCAGTCACACTTAGCAAATTAACTTTTAAAACAAAAACGATTGTAACATAGACACCCACACCTGAAACCTAGATATTCATGTTGACCAATGGCACCCCAATATTTTAATAAATCAATACATAAATAAATAAATGGCAAATGAACACAGAATGGCCATAATAACCTTCTTTGGAAATAGCACCAAACACCCACATTTGGGTCCCTCAGTGAACCTGAGGGGGGCCTGAGTTTACTACACCCTCCGTGAACCCCAACGCAGAACGGCCCACAATTTATCTCCCTCAGCACTGAGGTTCTGAAGGAGACCATCGATCACAGACATCTCTGCTGGAAACTCGGTCCCTCTGTGATCTCCTTGTACACTGGCCCCCGCAGCCTTGAGCCTCCCCAGCATCTGAGGCTCAGCCCTCCTCTGGGAAGGGGGGGCAGGGATTGGAACAGGTCAGAGATATATAAAAAGTACTGGCTTTCTCCCCCAGCAGACTTAAGTAATCATATGCAATATAAGCTAAACATCGCTCACTGTGGGTTGGGTTTTAGATACTATTATGGAATCGTTGTTCAACAGGAGTGATAATGATTTCCGTGGCTGTGCAGGGAAGGTCCTTCCCTGGGCAATGCCTGCTGGAGGACATAGGGTTTGACCAGGAGTAAGCAAACCAAGGCTCCCAGGCCAAGTTTCAATCTATTGTTTAAAAGGAAGTCTTATTGGACCAGCCACCCCCTTTGTTTACATGGTGTCTGGCTGCTTTTGTGCCTCAGTGGCCTGGTCTGGTCATTGTGACAGAGACAATACAGCTCACAAAGCCCAAAATTTACCACCTGGCTCTTTCTTTAAAATATATTTTATTGATTTTTACAGAGAGGAAGGGAAAGGGATAGAGAGTTAGAAACATCAATGAGAGAGAAACATCAATCACCTGCCTCCTGCACACCCCCTGCTGGGGATGTGCCCAAAACCAAGGTGCATGCCCTTGACCAGAATCGAACCCGGGACCCTTCAGTCTGCAGGCTGATGCTCTATCCACTGAGCCAAACCAGCTAGAGCTATCACCTGGTTCTTCATAGAAAATAGATTGCTCACCCCTGAGTGAAAGTATTGATGTCTGCAACTTCCTTTTTAATTGTTCAGTAAAACAACAGCAACAAAAAACTGCATATATGCGTGTGTGTGTATATATGTATATTTATACATATGCAGGGTGTCCCCAAAAATGTATACACACTTGAACAGCTGGTAACTCGGTTTTGAAAATGAAGTGTATTTTAATAAACACTGCCTTTGTAATTATTCAAAGTGTGTGTATACATTTTGGGGATACCCTATATATGTATGCACACATACTCTTGAATAATGTGGAGGTTGGGCTGTCAATGTCTGCACATTTGAAAATCCTCATATAACTTCTGACTTCGCAAAAACGTAGCTACTTAATGGCCTACGGCTGACTGGAAGCCTTAACACAGTCAATTAACGCAGATTTTTATGCATTATATACTATATCCTTATAATAAAGTCAGCTACACGAGCAAATGTTATTTTAAAAAATCCCAAGGAAGAGAAAATACATTTACAGTATTTATGGAAAAAATGCACATATAAGTGGACCCACGCAGTTCAAATCTATGTTGCTCAAGGGTCACCTGTACCTATGTGTGTGTGTGTGTGTGTGTGTGTGTGTGTGTGTGTGTGGAGAGAGAGAGAGAGAAAGAGAGAGAGAGAGAGACAGAGAGAGAGAGAGAGAAGGGATGCAAATGTGGCAAAAATTAATAATTGGTGAATTTAAGTAGATAATGTGAGTATTCGTTTTATTTTTCTTTTAACCTTTCTGCAAGTTTGAAAATATTTTTCATAAAATGTTTTAAGAGTAAATATTACTTCACTTTAAAAACTCAAGAGAATCTCCTAAAAAATATAATTCAATAGAAAATTAAATAAGCAGATCAATAACAATATAAATATATAACTAGCAATTACAATGACTTTAAGGTAATGATAACAATCTCATATACGATAGCAACAAAAAAATATCAAACCTAAGGTTTAACTAAAAAACAATTGCTGAGTATTTAAATAATACAACAAATTTTACCAAACTCCAAAAAATAGAAGCACATAAGTCAGCGGTTCTCAACCTGTGGGTCGCGACCCCTTTGGCGGTCGAACAACCCTTTCACAGGGGTCGCCTAAGACCATCCTGCATATCAGATATTTGCATTACGATTCATAACAGTAGCAACATTACAGTTATGAAGTAGCAACGAAAATAATTTTATGGTTGGGTCACAACATGAGGAGCTGTATTTAAAGGGCCAGAAGGTTGAGAACCACTGACATAAGTGAATATGAAGTACATAAGCATACTGTGAATATTTGGCCAATGCATCTGCAGGTGTTAATATTAAACAAACAAAAAAACTTTATCAAAGACAAAAAGAAGCTTTGAGGAACAGGAAGAACATACCACATCCCTAAACAAGAAGAGTCAATGACTTAATACTGTGAAAATGTCCATCCTCCACAAATACAGCTATAAGGTTGATGCAATTCCAATGAAATCATCTAGTGGCTTTTGTTGTTGGAGAGAGAAGAACAATGACAAAATCACTCAAATATATTTCTAGTAGGAAAAATGGGTATGATTAGCCAAGGTCATTTTGGAAATGAAGAATAATAAAAGTTTCTCACCATGACAATGTTAAGGTTTATTTTAAAACTACAACAACTAAGTAAGTAAATCTGGCTCAGGAATAATCAAAGAAGAACAATCCGGGAAGAGATGTACAAGAAGTAAGAATCAAGGCAGCAAGTCCATGAGAGGAGAGAGGGTGGGTTGCCTATTATACAAGGCTGGGACAATGGCTCACCACTTGGGAGAAAATGAAGTTAGAGCCCTATATCAAAGCACACTCCAAGTGAAGGAAAATTAAGTGCAAAGAAACAAATTCATGAAAGCGATAGAAAATAATGTATATCAGTATTTGAGAAGCTTGTGGTGGCACAGGTCTTTCTAAGCATAAAACAAATAGTAAAAAGAAAAAGATTGATATAGTTAGCTAGTAAAAATTTCAATCTTCTGTACATCTAAAAGGACTATAGTCAAATTTAAGAAAAAAAACAACACAACACTAAGAAAAATATTTACAACATAAATGATCTTGTGGGGGCAATGTCCTCACTATGGAATCATTCTGAGGAGGGTTTTGTTTGTTTGTTTGTTTGTTTATTTGTTTGTTTTGTTTTGTTTTTAATGGCCAAATGCCATTAATCTACACTTCACAAAATAGTATAATTGTTGGGATTCAGAATGATTATGATTTTCTCCTTTTTGCTTATATGTATTTTCTGAGTTTTTTTACTGCCCCCTAAAATGTATAATTCCTGTAGAAAAAAAAAAAATATCTTCACACTACCTAAGCTTCTTATAGAGGACTAAAGCTCCTCTATCGGCTCCAAGCTCTCCCAGAATGAGCGGGCCTGCAGCCCTACCAACAGCTTCCTATCCAGGCCAGAAATATACTTCTTTCATTTCCTTGAATCCTCCAAAAACCACAGCTGGGTGATGCTATTACCTAGTATTACAAACAAGGGAGTGAAGGCTCAGAGGGGTTTAGCAAGCTTCCCCAGGTCACACAGCAGTGAGCAGTAGAGTTAGAACTGAATCCCAGGTTGACCGGACCACAAACTTGCCTCTTTCCTGACCTCATTTCAGGAATCTCGGTTTGGGAGGCGGAAGGCCTGAGTCCTGATCCTGGCTCTGTCCTTAACTACACATGGCCTTGGCAAACCTCTTCCCTATTGACCCTCAGTTTTCTCCACTGTACAATGAGAAGTGAGTTGGCCCAACCGGTATGTCAAGTTCCTTCCTTCTCAGAGACAGGGCCGATTTCTGTTCTCATAAAGCAGAAATGACCAACGGCCAAGGACTGATCTAAACCAAGGATCAGTGGCCTGGGGGCTAAAGCAGGTGGCCACTCACAGATGCCCCACACACGGGCTCACCTTGAATTCCTCGTGAATGCGCTCCTCCAGGACCTTGGCAGCCTTGCGGTCCTCCATCTCCACTTTCCACTTCTCCGCCATGATCCGGGCTTTCTCATTGGCCAGAGCATCCCGGAACTTCTTGGTGATCTCTGCCTCCTTCTGTCTCCTTCCAAGAGAACACCAGAAGGTATAAGCTTGTGTGGGAAACTGAAGATCTACATAACAATGTTAGAGGCAGAAATAGAATAGTGGGACTAGCTATAGTTATAAGAAATATTAATCATGCTCTGTTAGCTGTGTTCTGTTCTGATTAAAGAAAGTGCATTCTAACCTGGCTGGGAGTTGTACGCCCCGGGACATGGGAGTTAACATCCAAATACAGTCCATTCTCCTTTTCCCAATACTGCCTACCATCATGGGAAGATTGTTGCTGAAACAATCTGGTCCTGAATTAGCCCACTTTATGTGTTCTGTGTGGGGCGCGGCTGCAGTGTTTTGGCCAGGTTCAAGCCTCAGACTAATGAAAGGACAGGGTCCTCTCATTGCCATGTGCAAGTCCCAGCTGGAGGGCAGGGCCCTCCCAGAACAATTATAGCCAATGGCTGTGGATGTAAGCTTGAACCTGTGGTCTGAACACGTGGCCCCACATGCCTTGTGATAGAGTTCGGGTGCATGTAGTTGAGTGAGGTTGAAACTCACGAGAATGCTGTAAACAACTTGATCAAGCCCCTACTTTGCCTCGTGGCATCTGCTATAAAATAAAGACACGGCTTGTGGGCGCTGGCGCTGTCTCCTCATCAGGGAGCAGCGTCCCACCGAGACCCAGCTTTCATTTTCTTGTCTGTCTTTTCTCAATCCTTTCACACCCCCCACTCAGGATCACCTTTGGCCGTAACAGTTCTGAGCATAAAAATTGTGAACAACCTAAATGTCCATCAACAGGACCAGTAAGTTGGGTTTCCCATGTAGTGAGAACACTCTATAGTAATCTTCTATATAATAAAAGGCTAATATGCAAATCGTCTGAATGGCAGAATGATCAGTCACTATGATGTGCACTAACCACCAGGAGGCAGACGCTCAATGCAGGAGCTGCCCCCTGGTGGTCAGTGTGCTCCCACAGCGGGAGAGCCACTCATCCAGAAGCCGGGTTCATGGCTGGCAAGCGTAGTGGCAGTGGTGGGAGCCTCTCCTGCCTTCACAGCAGTCAGACATTCCCCGACTGCTGGGGGCGCAGGCCCGGCTGAAGGACACCCCACCACCACCAAGTGCACAAATTTTGTGCACTGGACCTCTAGTCTTAAATAATGTTGTGAATCTATACTTATCAATTTATCTGTGTGTTAATAAAGCCATTTACAGAGCATGTACAGACAGTCCCCAACTACTGGTGGTTTGATGATGATTTTTTGTTTTTACAATGGTGCCAAAGCAATACACATTCAGTAGAAACAGTACCTTGAATTTTGAATTTTGCTATTTTCCTGGGCTGTTGATATGCTGTAAGATACTCTCTGGAGAGCCACAGCTCTCAGATCACAAGGGTCAACAACCCACACTAGTGTATTCATTGTGTTAGGTGACTTTGCCAACTGTGGGCTAATGTAAGTGTTCTGAGTATGTTTAAGGTGGGCTAGGCTAAGCTGTGATGTTCAGTACATTCGGTGCAGCAAAGGCATTTTCAACTTACGATATTTTCCATTCACGATGGGTACATCAGGACAAAACCCCATTGTAAGTCAAGGAGCACCTGTTGCTTACATGCTCACTGTGGTTAACTTAGGTGGCAGGTGCTGGGTTGTTGTTAACAGTTTTACAGTTAAAACTCTGTCACTATGCCCAACCGGTGTAGCTCAGCAGTTGAGCAACCCAGGTTCGATTCAATGGTCAGGGCACATGCCCGGGTTGCTGGTTCAATTCCCTATGGGGGAGGTGCAGGAGGCAGCCGATTAATGATGTTTCTCTCTCAATCAATGTTTCTGTCTCTCGATCCCTCTCCCTTCCTCTCTCTCTAAAAAATTTTTAAAAAAACATATTTTAAAAAAATGAAATAAAATAAAGATGAGGAAACTGAAGCATAAAAAGGTTAAAAACAAAAAACAATGTCACTAACAATTGGGTGGTGGGGGGAGAGGATGCTGGCATCCAAGTTTGGCAAAAAGATGTTAAAAGTTGTTTATAAAAGAATTCTGATTCCAAATCTCACTGGGGACTCAAATGTCCATGAAAGAAAAACAAGCAGATAACAAAAGTGAATCCAAACTGCCTACTGTCCCAGGAACCACTCAGTGAGAGGAAAAGCAAAAGCATGTCGTACGCATTGTCTCACTGAATCCAAATAGAAGCAGTGTTGTTATACCCATACCTCAGTGTGAAAACTGAGGCCCCAAATAGCTCACTTCTAATCGGTGGGGCCAGGATTTGAATCCATAAGGTCTGTCTGAAGCAAGACTTTGATGGTTTGGTCACCTAACAGCCAGCCAACTGCCTGGCACCTCCTTCCTCTGACCCATAACCACTTGTCCTTATCTGGGACCCACCCCAAGGCTCTGAGTTCAGGCCTCACACGACACCCATTGGCACCTCTCACCAGAGCTCCTCGGCCTCCCTCTGTGCCTGAAGCCGTGCCTTCTCTGCAATCAGCTCCTCAGAGATCTCTTCATAGGGCTTGTCGCCAGGGCCTTCTCCCATGATCCAGACCCAGACCTCGCCGTCTTCCCCCAGCAGCCACTGGATGTGCTTGTCACTCGCTGCTTCACAACATAAGGAGGAGCAAGAAAGGAAGAAGAACGGATCTGGGTTCTAAGTAGTAAGAAAGGGCCTAGTTTCGCCAATGGTACATAACCACTCTACAGTACTGTCATCAACAAAGAGGATTCCAGAGAGACACGGGCCTGAGTGCAGGTCCATGGCCATCTCTCCCTCCCACTCCCTCTGGGGAGCAACACAGCAGCCAAGTCAGCCTGCTGAAGAGGGTGTCTAAGTCTAAGACTGTGTCTGAGGCTGAGCACCCTGACATCTTCAGCAGAGAGAACATCAGCGACAGTGCAGCACCCCCTGAAGGAAGTGACTGTGCCACCCGTGGACCAAGGCAGTTAGGGGCCAGTGGCCTTCTCCTCTGTCCTCTCCCCCCTCTCTCTCCCAGCAGCACTCCTGTCCACTGGCTGAAAAAAAGGAATTGGAGATGGTGGAGTTGCAAGGTGAAGCAGCTAAGCCTTGGGTCTCCCTGACCCACATCCACCGGTAACATGAGCAAGAACAAAACCTATGTCTCATTAAGCTACTGAGATTTTTCAGTTTTCCTATTGCAACAGATCCTATTGATTACCACGACTAAAATGGAAATCTATCCCAAAACTGGGTACACCTGAGACAGAAACAGAAACTACGGGTCACTAACTAAGCAGTTGGGTGTCCAGTGATGTTTAGCAGGCTAAATGGCTGGCGATCCACATTATGCAGGAGCAAAACATTGGGTGAAGTTGGTGGGCACTGTAATGTAAAAGGCAGACCCTCCTGCCTCTGAAGGGAGAGACTGGAGAATAGGAAATCGGTAGTGTGTGTTGGTTGCCAGTGGGAAGGTGTTAAGAGAAAGAAACTGGTTTGAGAAAGAATTGAATGCTTTGCAAGTGAAAATGAAAGGAAATAGAGAGAATACAGAAATTTGGGACTTTGTAAGATGGGGAAAACCACCTCTTTCTAGGGCCCGAATTGCAAGAGATGGGCTTTTAAAGGTCTTGCGTGACAGCCCCGTAAAACCTGTCAGGTGAATAAAGCGAGCTGGGCACAGAGCCTGTGGCAGCCATGAGAATGCACCCAGACACCCAACCAGGGGGCACAATGCAGCCAGCACTCCAGTTCCTGTGCTCTCACATCTGCCCAAGGCCAGGCTCACAGAGGCAGCACCCAGCCTTTGACTGAGCTCGGCAGGCTTATTCCTGGGAGGCAGCAGACTCCTCTGGTGGGCAACTCCCATGAGGCCTTGACAGACCTTCCTTGGATTGCACATCTGCCCAGAACACCTCCACCCAATCTGACTCTCCATCTCCTTCACTCAACCAACCTCCTCCAGCTCCCAGCCCTTCCTCACTCACAAGCATTTCCTCAGTAAAATCCCTGAGTGTTTAATCCCATCCTTGTCTCTGCTCTGCGGAGGAGCCAGGCTAACATGAGCACATTAAGAAGGGGTCGGGGGGAGGAGGGGGGCGCGCGGAGATGTGTAATACTTTGAACAATAAAGAAACATTTTTTTAAAAGAAAATGCCATCTTCTCACACTTATTTTTACAAAGAGCCTAAGACAGGTACTCTAGTTCAGCGGCTGCCAACCTTTCGGACCTCACGGACAACCAGTGGTCCACGGACCACCAGTTAGCGACCGCTGCTCTAGTTGAAAGGGAGAGGCATAGAGGTGAAGAGGCAAAGAAGTACAGACAACCTGTGAAACATGTCTAAAGACAAATGGTAGACGTGTTTGCTGGGACATCGAAGCAAGGACAAAGCAGCCTGTGAGGCAGAACAGCCAACAGAAAACGCTACCCCAGAAGCCAGGGGGCGACAGAATTCAGGAATTAGGAGAGACCAGCTGTGTCACAGGCTGCTGGCGGTGGATGGGTAAGACTGAGAACTGACCACTGATTCAGCAACGTGGAGGTCATGGTGATCTTGATAAGAGTAGGTTCGTGAGTTTGTGGAAAGGGATGCTTGGAAACTGGAAACTTTTAGAAGAAAATATAAAAGCATATCACTATAACTTTGTGGAAGGGAAGAATTTCTTTTGCAAGACATAAAAAGAATAAACTGCAAGAGACTGTTGATAAATTTGAATACAGATTAAAGTTTAAAATTTCTATACAAAAAAACACACCATGGAGACAATTAAAATTCAGCAAATGAGAGAAGCTATTTGAATACACATAACTGTCAAGTGATTGTAACAATTAATAAAAGCAATAATAACAGCTTACAATTACAGAGGGCTTATCTGCTAATCACGGTTCAACACATTTTATATGTATCAACTTATTAATGTCTAGAACAATCTTTCTCTATGGGGTCCTGTGAGAGAAATAAGCCCTATAAAACAATTTGAGCCCGGCTGGCATAGCTCGGTGGCTGAGCATCAACCTATGAACCAGGAGGTCACGGTTCAATTCTTGGCCAGGGCACATACCTAGGCTGCGGGCTTGATCCCCAGTGTGGGGCGTGCAGAAGGCAACTGATCGATGATTTTCTCTCATCATTGTTGTTTCTATCTTTCTCTCTCTCCCTTCCTCTCTGAATCAATAATAATATATTTTTTAAAAGATGAAAGAGACAAATTTAACAAAATGTGTTGTCTCATCGCAAAAACACTTGCTGAAAGTGAAAACATATTAATGCAGCTGAGGTTCCCAGTCTCTACAATTATGTGAGCCAATTCCTTAAAATAGAGAGATGATAGATTGATAATAGATAGATAATAGGTAGGTAGGTAGATAGATAATAGATAGATAGATAATAGATAGATAGATAGATAGATGATAGATAATAGATGATGATGATGATGATAGATAGATAATAGATAGATAATAGGTAGATAGATAGAAAATAGATAGATAGATAGATAGATAGATAGATAGATAGATAGATAGATAGATGATAGATAGATAAATAGATAGATAGATAATAGATAATAGATAGGTAGGTAGGTAGGTAGGTAGGTAGATAGATAGATAGATAGATAGATAGATAGATAGATAGATAGATAGATAGATAGAATCTCCTAAGGGACCAGCCACTTCCAATGTAATGGTGCCTTCCAGTGAATCCTGCAGGGAGTGGCTGCCCAGCAGCTGCTGTGTTCTCTTAGCTAGGTGCCTTTTGTTTTAAGTGGTGAGCCTTAACCTTCTGGGGGTGGGGAGGGGAAGAACTCAACTAGGCACGTGATAAATGTGCTTATGTTTATCGGATTCCTTCAACATACCAGGTTTAACCGAGACCACCTCATTCCATCTTCCCCACAAATCTGAGATAAGGTCTCTCATCATCTCCAATCTACATAAGAGGAAACAGGCTCAGGGAGGCTTGAGTAACTTGCTAACCTCACATCAACTAATGGAAAATAGGAAGCGGGCAGAGCCAACATGTGAACTCAGGCGCTCTGACCACTGCACAACTGCCTCTTGCACAAAGGATGTGACGGCCAGCACGGTGTGGGCGTAAGAGTCATTGTCAAGAACGCCAGGCTATTTCCTGTTGTACTCAGAACCACTCGCTGAGAGTCAGCAACACAGACACGGGGTCGGTCAGTGACGTTAACCATCCTCCCCTCACTCCCTCCAACCTTGTGACTGTACAATGGCTCCTGAAATAGCTCCCCAAGTTCAAGGCCATGTCTCTTGCAGAAGCCTTGCCTCTCTTACATGTAGAACAAGGGGCAAACCCAAGATCTTCCACCAGGCCATGTGCCCCATGTGCGCTGGCACTCACTGCAGTGATCACTGGGAAATCCCGAGTGCCCTGCCTCCAGCCCAGCTCCCTTCAGTCCTGAGACACCGCGGAATCAATGTCCGGTGAGAGTCTCTGGACCCAGGCTTACTGCTATCCTTCCCAGCTCAGTTTTCTCCTCTGGAACAACGTCTCACAACTTAGTCAATAAAATGAAAGGGCTGCACATGTACTGGGGACAGGGACCAGACCTCCTAATTCTTTAGCATTTCAGAGTCTGGGTGTGAGAACCCAACCAGGGTGGCCAATGAGAGGATAAACATAAAAAAAACCCCGAGACCTAAAGACGTGTAATTTTGTAAGGACGGGGGTAATAAGTGTGAAAATGCACCCAAAGACTTTAGAACCCCAGGTCTAATACAAAATCTGGTTCCAATTGGGAAAATCCTAAGAAGCTTTGCTAATTTTTACGCGAGAAAAACCTGGAAAGCAGTCATGCTGGCCACTGGGAGGGACAGCCTAGGGACAGGCAGCGGTCGGTAACCTGCTACTTCTCAGCCCAGCTACTCTGAGCAGCAGCTGGACTGGAACCTGGGGTCAGGTTACAGGGAGTCAGGAGATAACCAGCAGGTAGCCTTTCTCAGAAACTGCCCTGCACACTCCCAGCAGGAAGGGGAAGCAGGGAGGTGGCAGCCATCAGCCCCTGAGGCAGGGGAGAGAAATGAACCCTGGCCTGCTCAGCCCAGCATCCCCCCTGGGGCCCTGCACCAAGCAGAAGAGTGGCTTCCCTCCATCCAGAGCTGAGCAAAACTCACTCTGTTCAGTCCCGGAGCTTTTGGCAGCCCAGCTGCCAGGAGAAAGTGGGGGAGGGGGGCAGGAGAAGGAGAGGGCACTGTATACACTGAAACTCAAGTTCTCTGCAGGCCACTGGCCACTGAACAGGCATATGGCCCCAGGCACTGGCCTGTGTCTACCCCATCCCTGTGCCCAAGCTCTTACGTTCCTCATCAACGTTACTACTATTAAACCTTTTCTTTTTTTCTTTTTTTTTTTATACGTTTTTGGTTTGTGTTATTTTTTTTTTTAATATATTTTATTGATTTTTTACAGAGAGGAAGGGAGAGGGATAGAGAGTTAGAAACATCGATGAGAGAGAAACATCGACCAGCTGCCTCCTGCACATCTCCCACTGGGGATGTGCCCGCAACCCAGGTACATGCCCTTGACCGGAATCGAACCTGGGACCCTTGAGTCCGCAGGCGGACGCTCTATCCACTGAGCCAAACCGGTTAGGGCGAAACCTTTTAAACTTTTGCCAATCT